AGGGTCAAGGGGCCTTGTCCCCAATTCCATTCCTTTCTCTTTGTAGATAACCAGTAAATTCACACACTTCCTTCCCATTTAAGATAACTAGTAACTAAATCCAGCAAACTCCCATCCTCACCTCCAAGAAGGACAGTTGTCAGAACTTTTGGGGAAGGAGACAAATGTCCTCCCTTCATTATGTAGCAGTTCGGTTGGAAACCATACCTGTTCTCATTGCCAGTACTCTAATGCCATTTCCTTACTTTCACTTTTGGTCTGACACACTCTCTAAATCAGCGTTTCTCAACCTGTGGGTCGCAATCCAAAAGTGGATCCCAAAAATATATGAAAGGGTCATGAACAAAATTTAAAAATGGATCAACAAACTTTAAAAATGTATTCTCCTAAAAGGCAGAAAAGTGTGGGAAACCATGGCTTTTCCCTGCAGGCTGGCAGAGTTCCAACCTGCAAGGGGCTCCCCATGCCCCACACATGCCCCCCTTGCCCCACATACCCACCCCGAGCCCCACACACTGGCAGTGGGGGTAGCAGGTTGGGACTGGCCATTGATGTTTACAAATAGGTCCTGGTACAAAGAAGTTTGAGAACCACTGCTCTAGATTACATTTGGCCTTAGGAAATTTGGGGATGTGCATTTTCAATTTGAAAATGACAACTAGGCCTAAAACTCAAAAGTGAGGAGTAATTCTGAGGGGTCAGCTTGAAATACCCTAAAGAAAACCCCTACACTTCACATGGTTTTGTTCCAGCTGCCATTTAGCTCAGCTGTGTCTGTTTCTGTCTCTAAGCCTGAGGAAGGGTACTGTGGTACCTGAAAGCTTGCCCATAAAAGATATCACCCACAAAAGCTCTTGCCTTTTTCATATCTCCTGAACCATCATAGCAGTAACATTACTTCAACACAACTAACAAAGATCATAAGTTTTAGAAAATTCAGGGATCCTTTCCTCAAATGGTCTTTCCTCTTAAGATGATTCAAGACAGAAGAAGCCTAGATCTTATCTCCCCAGTTCTTTGTTACTGATGATCTTGAGGTCAACATTTTCTGTGCATACATTCACATTCCACTTGTTTATTTTTGTGGGGGACTTATTTTCCTAACAGGTGAATACATATGTCCATTTCTTTTACTCCATGAAAATTCACATGGTTCCCCGTTGGATAAAATTTGATTATTCGAACTGATTCTGCTATGACATACATATTTGTAAGATTTAGATAGAGCAATTTGTTAATATGTTACTATTCAGTGTAGTACATTTTTATGAGATGTACTTGTATGTCATATCCTCACCATTCTCAAATGATAAACCATTTTGCATGTCAAGATTTCTAAGCCACACTAGAAATAAGAAAAATAATTCAATGTCCAAAATAAGCAAGTAAGTCTATTGCTGATTTATTTTGGCTCACTACTAGCCTCCCACCAGCGTTCCTCAGGCCTTCATGACTCAAAACATATTTTCCAAACAGAATTCTCTAGAACCTAAATACCCAGAACAACCCATTTAAAAGATGTCACTGAGAATCCAAATAAGAGAAATAATGGAGATGGGGGAGAAGAAAGCTTGAAACACGCACACACAGGATGAACACACATGCCTACATTAATAAAATAAGATTACATCCAAGGAAAGTCTCACTGATAAGAAACAATTCTTCCTAACACCACTGAAGTGAAGGTACTTGATTATATTACACTGTTTGCAGCATTTTGCTGATTTTCATAAATGGAACATAAATTTGTCCGTACATGGGCCTGTCCCACCCAGCATTGTCTACCACATGTTATCAGCACAATGATAGCAATTAGACTTGCTTCTCTAAGAATCAAGTTCTTGCAGTGCTGCAGGTAAGCTAATTAGCACTTGATTCTCACTAGCCACCTGGCATGATAATTCTGCAGTGTAGACATACCCTTATGCTCTTCATTCTGGAATCAGTCTAAAATATATTGCTTCATTAGTAAGATGTTTCATCCTTGTCCTGCCCTGACAAATTATTCATACTGAAACATAATCTGAATTAAGTTCTTCACGTATGACAATGACATGGAGAATGGAAAAAACTCAGATAGGAAGAGGCAATAGTTCTCCTTAACTATAGAGAACAGCATAGTTCCCCTTAAAGCATAATAAACATATACAAAGCAATAGATCACCCAAAGGCATGGATGATCAGAAGTACATCTCTGGCAAGAATGTCTTGCTTTTAAAAGTTTTAAAAGATAAATAGAACCTTGTACTTTAGCACTTAAGTCAACTTGTAGCTATTGGGAGACTAGGAAGAGAGACAAATTCTCTCTTATCTACCCAATGTGTGTTTTCTTCCACTGTTGTCTGAAGCAACTTTTCCTGGCCGCCAACAGTGCCCAGGACCTAAACACAATGGACATTGGAGTCTGATCCTGTTTTATTTCTTAAGTTCTCTAAAAAGCATGAATAAATGAACAGAAAGCACATCCTTAAAATGCAGACTGATACCAGAAGGTGAATCATTTCTGAAAAATAACCTACATAGACTTTCTCACTCATTGTGAGGAACACAGTGAGAATGAGCAACATGAAACAGAAAGCCAAAAGATTACTAAAATCTGGGTGGATGGATTATCACAAGAGTCACCAGGTACAATTCAGTTAAAGTACACTGTGTTATGAAACTTGGGAAATGAAATCACTGAAACATTAAAACAGGGGTCCTCAACCCCTGATCCTCAGGCCAGATCTGGCCTATGACCCCATGTCATCTGGCTTGCAAGGCTCCCCACAGATCCAGAAATTGGGAGTAGCACTTTAATTAAGGCAGCTGTGAGAGCTGCTCTAATTAAAATGCCACAGTGTCTTGTGTATCAGCATCACCACACTTCAAAATGGCAATGGGGGCACTTTAACTAAAGCTCATTTAACAACCTTAAATTAAAGTGCTCCCACTGCCATTTTGAAGTGTGGGGAAGCTGATACACAAGACAGAGGCTACAGGAACATGCTAATTAGCACACTCCAGCAGTCTTGATTAATTGAGTCTGCTCTGACGCGTTATAATTACAGCACATCAGAGCAGCCTCCCACATATCTACAAGCACCCTAAGACTCTGTCTCCGTCCCTCCAAGACATGGCTGAACTACACTGATGGTAAACCTTGCTGTACAACACTCTCTCCCTATCTGTACTACATACAATTGGAGATTTTAGTCTTCAGGGTTATCAAACTATCATCTGTTATGAGCATTAAGTTTATATTGCTGCGATGCCCACAAAAAACACTAGCAGTGTTTCAGTAGCTGGTGTGCCGAGACCACCGCTGATTTTATTGACCAATACTGTCTCATTGCTTCCTTGTGCTTTCCTGGCTGCCTATACCCATCTGTTTCTTTTTGTCCTATACTTTGATTAAAAGACTTGTTAGATGCCTTATAACTGGGCTAGGAAACATTTTTTGGCCAGAGTGCTGAAAAAACCACAATGTCTACCTTGGAAGGTGCCAACGTGGCGGAGCCTAGAGCAGCTGTTTACAGCCTCCCGGCTGCAGCTGGCCCATGGAGCCCGGTCTGCTTGCAGCAGGGCTTGCAGCCTCCCAGCCGCCTGCTGGGAGCAGCCTGGGCTCCATGGCTGGCAGCAGCTGCTTAGAGCCTCGGCTGGTGGTGGTGTGCCGAACAAAATGGTCTTGCATGCCATGCTTGGCATGCATGCTGGGGGTTGCTGACCCCTGCCCTATAAAATGGCAAGGACCGTCTTTTTCATTCTGTTTGTGTAGTGCCCAGCACAAAGGGGCCTTGATCCATAACTAAATAGCTTTTGGATAGTACCACAAAAGAAATAATTAATAAAATGTAAAAAAAACTTGGGAAAATTAAAGAAAACTTCAGCTGTGGGTACTATTTATGCAGTTTTGCTTTTCATTTAATTAGTAGATACACTTTAGCAAAAAAAAAAAAAGCAGCAGCAGTCGCCTCACGCAATGAATAGTCAAGAACCTTGAGACCTGTTCAGAATGTAGGGCCTGGGATCTGTCCTGGGTTCTACTCTAGTCCCTTATGGAAAAAGGGGTGGGATTTCACTAACTGTAGAAGCAGTTTAGCTGGCTCCTATGCCAAATTCCCACCACCTATCAATACAGGAGGTATGTCATAGTAATCTCAAGTTGATCTGCCAGCTGGTCATAGGGCTGTTCTGAACTATTCTGGTCCTAGATCAGCCAACTGCAAATAAGTCCTTGGATATACCCAATAACTACTAAAGACTGATGCTGGGATTCCCCCCACCACGTCCCAAAAAAACCCCTACTACCACCTTCCCTTGGGCAAGATTTACAATGAAGGAGTCATAATCCATAATTCACGTACTTAGGTCATTTTCTTAAAAATATGACAACAACATTTATTTTATGATTTCAGATATGAAAATTATCTACTTAGTGGCAGAATTTTGTCAGGCCTTGGCAATATGCAGGCTGAATTATCCCAGTTCAATAATTCACTACACTACTGAAAGGAGATAAAATAAACATTTTGACTGAAACTATGGAGATAGTTCTACCTTCACATGTAACAAGGGACAGAACTTGCTTATTTCAAGTGTTCTGGACTAATATAAAGATCAGCATATTTAAACAACAATACATATAATTAGTAAATATCATTACCTTTGCTAAATTATGATGAGACTTAGGAAAAAGGTAAGGAAAGGGAATGTTACTTCCTAATGCCTGAAAATTATTCATCTGTGCCAAACAGGTAAGCACACAAGGCAGTGACTCACTCATCTTTGACCTTAAAAGATTCTAGCAGGGTCAAGTATTTGTTTTACACCGTCTCTTAATGACATGTTAATTTAATTATTGCCATGAGAGCTTTAGCCAGAAATTAAAGTGACAATCTCTAAGCACCAAACAAACCTATGCTATTCTTTTGTATACAAGTCTATTTAAAACTGCTATCAAAACATTAAACAATAATAGTATTGATGTTTAATATGCCTTATAGAAAACTCTATCTTACCTTCTCAGTTCCTGGCCTTCCTCTTTTTGAAACTGTATCCCCATCCTAGTCTCTATGGCAATGGTGACGTATAGGTTCCACTGATGAGAGGATTCTTGGCATATTCAACAGGTGCAAGAATGGTCTGTCATCGCGAGAAGCCTCTCCAGTCTTAGGTTTCTCTGTGAGCTCAGAGGGATGTGCACATTTTTCTCAGGGACTGGAGCTGGACACAAATAAGAAAATCATGCTACATTTCCTTTTACTGTCTGGGAAATAAAGGAAAAAGTAATAATTCTTAAGGTATCATCACAGAATGTAACTGGGTCACAACCAAGATGAATTAATTGTAGCTAATTTCTACTGAAGTACTTTTAACACAGGGAAGATATGTACACAAGATTGTAAGGCACCTGATAAACATGATGGCCATAATTCCTGGAACATCTATCCACCTGGTTTGAGAAACAAGCAGTGACAGAAAGTTATCTCGACTCCAATGGAGACAAAAGTAATAGGAGAGATTTTATCAAGTGTTAACTGAGAAACAGCAGGTGTGCAATGTGGAGCTGCTCCTTTCCAGACAGGGGAAGCTATGGGGAGAGCCTATGGTGACTTTCTCTTCGTAGGAGAAATTTCTGAGAATCACTCAGATATAAAACATCAGTAATGGAATGCAATAATAGACCTATCTAGTAGCATAATTCTCAGCATATATACATTATACTGCACCTCCCTGTAGTAGTTTGTAGTACAGGACGTACAGTTTCTACCACTGCCTGCCCTCTCTTGCAGTTCCCAAAAAATGATGGAGGGAACAAGCTTGCTCTCTGGTCACAGGTCTATCAGCAAAAGCTGCTGAGTCAGCACAGTCACTAGATGTCCTGGATAATGGATATACCTGCTTTCTGATCAGCTCCCCACCCCTTCATGTTTTATTGGCCCTTTATGAATTTCCAACTAAAGGAGAGTTTTGGCCTCTTTTTGTTACTACAACCTCATTCTCTGGATCAGACTATGCTGAGATACCTCAACTAGGTCAAGCCCCAGGTTACCCTGCCCTTTAAATTTAAACAGAGATGTGTAGTGCAGTGCTGTGATAAGCTCATTTCTGATTTCATTCAAATAAAGCAGGCCATTAAAGTTGAAAATTAGAGTCACTCCGGGGTCAATCACTGTCAGCATTTTCAACACTTTTTGAGCCAGGACCTTCCCAGTGCTCCTTAGCTGTGCAATTTTGTAACCAACTGACCAATATATCTCATTGCCACAAAGGCAATGAGACCCATCAACAGAGAAGTCGATGATTTATTTCATAGTAAAAGGGCATGTCTACACAGTTAATTCACTGTGTGAGGCAGCTGTACTCTGCAGGTTGCTTCCTAAACCTGAAGCAGTGTAACCATGTCCACACAGTGCTTCAGATGAGCTTATTAGCCCCACTGAATACCTTGTGTTAATTCACCTACTTGTGGTGTTGCTGGACACAGCTGACCAAAATTAATAACTGATTGATTCAAGACCATCCAGAATTCATCCTTGGAATATGAACATTCAATTAATCTTTTAGGAAAAGGTTAGAAGAGGAGGTGCTTTATCTAGGTTTGGGTTTAAGAAAGGTCAAAGTAACCCATACAGACAGGCCTTTGCCCTACATGATGTCCTATCCACTCTATGATAGCAGGATTGCTCTGCAACAAGATGCATTCCTCTATCCATTCATGTCTGTCAGTTGTTTCATGTAGATACTTCACAATAACAATGCTAATGTTTGCAAGGTGCCATACATGTATGAGATCTTCAAGACAGATCTAAACCAACAGAATAGAGTTCAGGAGAGCAACAAAAACAGTCAAAGTGATAAAAAGCATGACCCATCCGATTAAACCACCTGGGCTTGTTTAGTCTAGAAAAGACGAAAGGGACACATGATAACAGTTTCTAAATATGTAAAAGGTTGTGGCAAAGAGACAAATTTTAAACTGTTTTCCATTTCAGGAAGTAATGAGTTTAATTTGCAACAAAGAAGATTTAGGTTAGACATTAGGACAAACTTTCTAACTGTCAGGATAATAAAGATATTGAATAGGCATCTGGAGTTTCCTTCCAGCCCTCTTTTTTCCATGACAAAAGAAGTGTAACTTTTAGAATCCTCTCTCACACACAAATAAATTATTAGCCCCTGGTCAACCAATACAGAAGCAAAACTACGAAGAATTTTTAGAGGTGGTCCCATTGGGGTTTTTTTTTTTGGTTTGGTTGCTAGGGGGTGGACAGGGCTTTTTGTTTTGTTCTGTTTTTGTTGCTCTCATGCTTTTAAATTCCTAATGATGACTTTTTAACATGTTCCTAATGGAAAACACATAGTAGTAATTAAAATAGTTTTTCAATCTATAATTATGAGTTCATGAGCTTTTAGGCAGGCTATTCACAGCAAACACTGTATTATCCCAGGCATGCAAGAAGAAGGAAGAATGCAAAGGATATGTAACTAAGCTACAATTTCATTAACTCACAGGAAGGTACCAGCAACAACTTGTACAGTGCAGGTCATTATGCCATCCATCCTTTCCATCTGATATAGGCCTGTCATCAAGCCTCTGCACCTGGTCTTAGCCCACTGTTGCGGCATCCCTGCCCTCTCCTTCTGTGGAAGGATTAAAGGGGTAGAAAAAAGGAAGCATCTTCACTCCATCAGGCACTGGAAGCTTCATATCTTTCCTGAATTCTATCAGAAAGACCTTTCCCTAACCCACCTTCCAGCACCTTCCAGTTTATCAGGAAACAAGAACTGCAAGGGCGCATCCAGACGAGTGCGCACTTGCCTCTTGCCCCGTCTCAAACTCCTTTGAGATGGAGCAAGAGGCATGTGCGGGAACGAAAAAATGTTCCCTGTGCTGCAAACTTTCAGCGCGGGCAGAAAATTAGACCCCTGGATAGGGGTCTAAAAAAAAAAAAAAAAAAAATGGAGTTAAAAAAAGCCTGAGGCAACCGGAGGCTGCGTCCTCCACAGAGATGCCCCAGCTCAAATTTGCACTGCTTCTATTTGAGCTGCTGCAAGCGAATGTGCTTGCATGTGTGGATGCACCCCAAAGGGCCAAATTCCCACAGTGGATGCCTGTCACAAGGAAGCATCAGTGTACAGTCTTCCCTGAGATGAGCTCCCAAATCCAGCCCTAACAGCAGGAAAAGAAATGTATCTACTCTGTGAGAGAGATGTGCCTCATCATCTCCAACTCACTCAGGCACTAGGCATGATGTTTTCCTAGGTGATTACCAAACTGATGATTCACACATTTTCTAGGGAGGCAAATATTTGCTGTTCAGATGAGCCTAACATCAAAGCTGCCAATTGCAGGCAAGTCCAAGGAGCTTACCTTCAACAGAAGAAACTTTGGATCATGGTAAAATGGAACCTCAGAAAGTGTATTGCTAGGATTCCCCAGATGAAGGGAATGCAATTCATTCAGGACTAGATTATTTATATCCACAGAACAGCTTGGCATGGGAGTCCAATGCTTTGTGTTCATCTGTGTTGGCTTCAAAATGCATATAAAAGTCTAGAGAACCTTGCTGAAGAAGCAAATGTCTTCCTGTCTTTCCCTTCCTTCAGATCACCGCAACAGTGTGCCTTTGTTTCAAAGAAGACTAATAGCATACTGGGCTGCATTAATAGAATCCTTGCCAGCTGATCAAGGGAAGTGATTATTCCCCTCTATTCAGCATTGGTGAGGCCACATCTGGAGTCCTGTGTTCAGACCCCCTCCCCACCAAACTACAGAAAGGATATAAACAAATTGGAGAAAGTCCAGCAGAAGGCAACATAAATGGTTAGGGGGCTGGGACACGTGACTTTTGAGGAAAGGCTGAGCTTATTTAATCTGGAGAAGAGTGGACTGAGGTGGAATTTAACAGCAGCCTTCAACTGAAGGGTGGTTTGAAGGAGGATGAAGCTAAACTGTTCTCAATGGTGGCAGATGACAGAACAAGGACCAATGGTCTTAAGTTGCAGCAAGGGAAGCTTAGGTTAGATATTAGGAAAAATTATCTCACAGGAAGAATAGTAAAAGTACTGGAACATGTTACCCTGAGACACTGTGGACGCTCCATCCTTGGAGGTTTTTAAGACCTGGCTAGACAAAGCCTTGGCTGAGAAGATCTAGTAGGGGCTGGTCCTGATTTGAGCAGGAGGTCGGACTAGATGACCTCCTGAGGTCCCTTCCAACCCTAATTTTCTATAATTCTCTAAAGGGGAGCTGATAACTAGATGTGTAAATATAATATGGTGCATTTGAACTACAGGCAAATGGCCAGATACCCCTAAAATCTCACTGCAAGGCCACAGCACTGAGGCAGCTCTAGGCTGGCCTAGATAGTAGAATCAATACTATGGACAGCAAGGAAACCAGTCATGAGAGCTAGTGTGTGGATGTGCAGGCACAAGGTACACAAGCAGGCAGCCAGTGCCTCTGGAAATTCACAGGTTTGTTGAAGATTTTTGATCCATGCAAACATTTGAAAATCTTGTAGTCTCTTTGTAGGTAAATTGCAAATAGAGCACAGTTTGACACTGGGGAGGAAAGTGAACAGGTATAGCAAGAGCGACATTAGTAGACAGTCACTGGAGTCAAATTCTGTTTACAATTTATCTATGAAGAGACTATAAGCTTTTGAAATGTGTCTGTGGATCAAAAATCTTCAACAGTTTATGGGCATATATTTCAACCTAATGCTTGCAAACTTTATTTTCTGACTCCTGCTTCATGTATTTGCAAGCCACACTGTGCAAATGCATCTGTTTACATAAATTGGCATGTATTTTTTGCTTCCTGAATATCAGATTTCTGAAACCTAGAGTGTTTCCAAAACCTGTGCTTGGTAGACATTTCACCATATAAAAACTGCAAGTTCATGAGGTACCCGACACCTACTGAACATAAGTGCTACCACAGCACAAACAGCTTCAAAAGTTTATAAATAGTCATATCAGCAATACCAATAGCCATGGGATCATGTATGGTCATGAGCAGGAATCCTGATTTTCCCAGATAAAAAAAAAACAAAACAAAACAAAAAAAATTATAAATTCTCTGACAAAACCCCCCAAAATCTATGATTAAAATGAAAGGCCACTATATAAATAGGTATCAGTTGAACACAATGTTTTCTTGATATATTTACAATTTTAAAGCGATGTGGAAGCCTGCCACTGCCTCAATCACTATA